AACGCCATAACCGGCCACCGCAGAAGAGGCACCCACACCGTCGCCGAGGGGCGCCCGAAGAAGCGCGCGCGCGACACTGCCGTGAGCCCCCGCCGGTCGTCCGCGTCCGTCTCCAGCCGCAGACGGCATTCCTGGATCAGCTGGCCCGCGCCCGGCGACAGCGACGCGATGCCGGACCCTTGCACGACGTCCAACATGTCCGCCGTCATCAGGCCCCACCGGATGCGCGCCAGCACCTCGCGCGTGCTAGCGGCGACGCGCGCGGCGGACACCCAGCGCAGCGCCGCGCGCAGAATGTCCATCTCCATCGCGCGCACCTCGTCGGAGTCTAACACTGCGTACATGGCGCGCTCCGGGAGGCGGCAGAACATGTCCAGCGCGTCGGGGGAGCTTGTCATGTCGGTGAAGCCGTGCGCGATGAAGTCGACCGAGGCCTGGTACAGCTCGTCGTCTTCGTGCATGAGGGCGAAGCTCGCCGCGGCCACGCAGGTTTCCACAGCTAGGGTGTTAAGCAAGGTCCGGCGCGCAAGCGGGAGCAGCGTGGAGATGTCGAACTGATGCGCAAAGCTGTACAGCTGAAAGGCCGTCTCCGCGCCAAACGTCTCGTGCAGCTCCACGCCGTACATGTGCCGGACGGCGAGCGCGACGGCGTCGGACGAAAAGTGCCACAGCGAGATGCGCCCCGTGCGCCGCTCGACCATGTCCGCGGAGAGCATTGCTCGAAACACAGGCGACGCGAGCGCGAGCACGCAGCGATGCAGGCTGAACTCGCACGACGTTTCGCGCGGGCCTCCGATCAGGACGACATCGGAAAAGTCGGCCCCGACGCCCGGTGCGACCCCAGGCAACAGCGACGACAAGGAATACTTGACTCGCGCCTCATCGGCGCCGCCGCGCTCACCCAAACCCCCTGCCAGGTTCGTTTCCGCTCCGAAAGCGGCGGACGCAAAACACGCAGGCGCGGGGGCTTGCGGCCTATCAAGCCACTGCTGCTTCCGCTCCAGCAAGCGGTGCCCCTCCCCCCGCCCCGCGGGCGCGCGCCCGGGTGGCTGCGCGGACCAAGCGGCGTGCGGCACGGACGCGTAGCGGCTGTGGCGTGCGGCGG